TCTGTTGGGGCACAATTGTCCATTCAAAGCAAGGGTCAGTGAGGTTTTCTCCTCGCCTGAAATAAAAAGTTGTTCTAAGGTTCCCCTCCTTAGCAATAGCCTGGGAGATATGGATGATGACATTATCTTTCCAGGCCAATGCCAGAATAAAGGAAAGAAAGAAAAGAAGAAAGGCTTTCATGTTTAGTTAAAGTAGAAAGTCTTGATTCAGCGTCATGGGCGGAAGCAGTCTACACTGATGTCAGGTACTTCTCTTCCTAGTCAATTTGAATCGAATGTCTCCAGTGCTTGTGCAGGACTGTGCAGTCGGTGGTGGGGGTGGATGGATGGGAGATGGGGTCTTCTTTAGCTGTGGGATGTATGTTTAATTAAATTTATCTTATAGTATCTAATGATTTAGGTGTGATGGAAAATTATGTACACTCGTATTTCATTTCAATACATATGAAAAGTACACACAGCAAGTGAGTATCACTCAATGAATTATTACAAAGTGAAACCCCAGTGAAGAGACAAAATGTTGCCTGTGTCCTGGAAGTGCCTGTACTGCCCACCCCATAACTATTACCTCTCTCCTCCCACGGGAAAGCATTGTCCCGACTTTCATGACGTTTTAGTGTTTGATGTGTGTGTTTAGCATTTTACCTCCTAAGCATGCGTTCTTTTTTTTTTTAAAGATTTTTTTATTGGGGAATTGGGGGAGGGGAACAGCATTGGGGGAATCAGGGAAGGGGAACAGACAAGTTGCTGTTGTTTTGCTCTTCAGTCTAGTTGTGGAGGACGTTGATTCACTGGCCCAAGTTGGCACCATCATTGNCTTTGGGCATCCCCCAGAAAAGGTATTACCAGACTGTGAAACAAGCAAAAAAATTTAACTTCCACGACTGCAGTCTTTTTTATTTTATTTTATTTTTGAAGATTTTATTGGGGAATTGGGTGGGGAAGCGAACAGTGTTGGGGAATTGGGGAAGGGAACATTGTGTTTTTACAGGACCCATCAGCTCCAAGTTAAGTTGCTGACTTTCAATCTTAGTTGTGGAGGGCGCAGCTCAGCTCCAAGTCCAGTTACTGCTTTCAATCTAGTTGTGGAAGGTGGGGCGTGGGGGAGGGGAGGTAGCGCACAGCCTACCCTCTCCTCAGACCAGGCACAGCTCACTGGTCCAGGTGGGAATTGAACCGACGACCCTGTTGCTCAGAGCTCGTGCTCTAGCCAACTGAGCCACCCGGCTGGCCCTGAAGTCTTTTTTATTTTTATTTTTTTTGAATTTAAAACCCTGTTGTTTTCATGTTTTCCAGAGGAGATCAATATCTATAGCCACTTTCTTCATGAGCAAAGAAAGCATCTTCCCACTGCTCTGTTAAGGAAGAGGTCTGCTCGCTGAAGGCAGGGCTGAGGCTCAAAGAGTAGCCTGATGTCTTTTTTAAAGTAGGGTTTTATTGAGGCAAAAATGCTAGCCAAAAAGAAGACTGGTTTTGGGTCATGGAGCCTAAACCATCTGCAGCATAGCTAGGTGGAAAAGACAGCATATCCATGGTCTCTGAGTTTTACAAGCATTTTTATACATCAAGTAGGGGAAAGGGGGAAGAAAGAAGTACTTTGAAAGAAAATTACATTAGTTATAGGCAACGGTGTGGGAGAAGGTGAAGCGGGGCCAGCTCTGAGTCCACATAAAGACATGTAAGCAAGGGGAGGCCCTGGAGGAGTTCAATAGTGCCTGGCTAAGATAATTCGTGGAAATAGCCACCTGGAAATTAATCCAAACTTCCAACAGACATCCGCAGGAATGTGGGCAGTGTGTTGTTATCTGGCCAGCAGCCATTAACAGACTGGGTTCTCTTTCTCATTCTGAGGCCCCTGTAATTTAATTTAGAACATGCCAGAATTTTCTACTTATCAATACCATCTCCCATTCATACTTTGAGGGAGGTGCTGCATCTGATGAGAAAATTAGGGCAGGAGAAAGTTAAGGTTACTAGCTCAAGGTCACACAGCTCCTGGGGTTGTTTCTTCACTTTCCTTTCCCTCCCTTCCTCTCCTCTCTCGCTTTTTAAGGGGCAGTTTTGCTCCATCCCTACCCCCAACCTGCCCTGTACAGAGTGGTTGCCCTGGGCTGTGATGAAGTGAACAAGTGAGCACCACTCTGACACCCACTCTTCCATGTCCTGGTAGGACCACCGCAGGGCTGCAGCCACCCTCCAATCCCCAGCTCCCTCTGCCACTCACACACAGCTTCCACCAGGGGGCGCCTTCTGTCCCACAGGTCACTGGGCTTTAGCACTGGGGTGGGGGTTTGGGGGGCCTGAGAGGAGGGGTGGGAGAGAGAAGAAGAAGGATTCCAAAGAGGGGTAAGAGAACTTGAAAGGAACCGATGATAACCCTCTCCCTTCCCTCCATCTGCCAAGTGAATGCAGGAACCATCTGGGTTCAAATCCCACACTGGCCTTGAGGATCCTTGTGACCTTGGGCAGGTGACCTAACCTTCCAGTTATTCCAGCTTCTCATCAGTAAGATGGGATGGTAGGTATATTAGTACCTCACTTGGAGGATTAATGGGCATCTCATGATTAATGGCCAGTCGTGGC